CTCATTCACTCATAACCTTGCTCATTCTTTCATAATTTCTTCTCCAAAACATCTGGGCAAAGTTACAATGCTTCGCGCCATGCTTTTCGGTGATTTCTGGTTACTCGACACCTGGGTTGTTTAATTGCGGTGAAATCCTGAGTTCTGGGTGGATAAGAGAAACTTAGGCAAGCCCAATTTTGTTAAAGATAATCCTCGCACTTCAATTTCTACACATTTCAGTTTTTATATCGCGAAAGTAGACTTTACGTGAACTATACTAAAGTCTACTAGTCAACATAAGGTTATTTTTGCAATTGACTTTTAAAAAGTAGACTACGTTAAACTTCACGAGAAGTCTACTCGACATCCTTTGAAAACAAAAAAAAAACTTAGTAGACTTCGTTTGAAGGCTCAAGAAGTCTACTAAAGAAAAAAATGTTATTTTTGTAGTTGACCGTATTTTGACTTTTTGATTTAGACTTCCGTATGAAGTCTACTATTTACGTCTGCATACGAAGTCTACTTTTAAGTTACTTTTGTAGTTTGACCAAAAACGTATAGGTCATTTTTGTGTTTGACTTCTGTTTTTCAAAAATTAAAAAATTTAAAAAATTCCAAAAAACTTCAGTAGACTTCTGTCTTTGTGAAGTCTACTTATTTTGTTCGGTCAAACTTAGAAGGAATCCTTTTTTGAGTAGACTTCATTGTGAAGTCTACTAAAAAAAAATCAATTGCAAAAATAAACTATTTTGTTTCGTAGACTTCTATTTAAAAAGTAGACTTCAAAAGTAGACTGTCAGAGAAGTCTACTCTAACATGAAGTCTACAATAGAAGTCTACTCTGTTAGTCACTGCATCGGTCAAATGCTAAAGTAACCTTTTTTGACTGAAATCTACTCATGAAGTCTACTGAATGAAAAGTCAACAGATTGATCAATTGCAAAAATGACCTTTTTTTAAGTAGACTTCATTAGTAGACTTCTCATTGAAAAAGTAGACTTCTCATCCAGTCTACATTTGAAGTCTGCTTACGAAGTCTACTTTTTGACGTTTTTTTAAAAACGCGTTTTAAGCAAATTTATAAACTATTTTTCAAATTTTTTTGTTTAGAATTACTTCTTAGTTAGTGATTGAACTACCCATTGAATTTTATTTCATTTCATTGGATATTTATTGTTGAATCAGAAGTTTTGATTTTTTAGGTACTTAGCTTATCAAAGTAGACTTCTCCTCCAGTCTACATTCGAAGTCTGCTTTAGAAGTCTATGTTTAGACATTTTTTTTAAAACGCGTTTTAAGCAAATTTATAAACTAGTTTTCAAATTTTTTGGTTTAGAATTGCTTCTTAGTAAGTGATTGAACTACCCAATGAATTTTATTTCATTTCATTGGATATTTATTGTTGAATCAGAAGTTTCGATTTTTTATGTACTTAGCTTATCAAAGTAGACTTCGTTTTGTAGACTTATCAAATTCCAGTTGTGTACGGTGAGTGGAAGATTGAGGAGAATTCATGGCATTTTGTTGTTGACATGGGCAAAGGTGGAAGAATGTGGTTTTTGAACGATGGTTGCACCTTGGGGGAGCTTACTGAGATGGCGCGAGATGATTATAACTTGGGCAAGAAGACTGAGCTCATCGAGTTAACCTACGCACTACCAGTCTCAATGTTGCAAAATATGGCTCCAGATACACCTCCAATGAATGTCACCAATGATAGACAAGTTTCAAGCTTGATTGCGTTAAGCAGAGTGCATATGGTACGTCTTTGTGTGTCCAGTTGAGTGAGATGGATACTGAGGAGAACCAGGAAGGATCAGATGAAGATTTAGGTGAGGAGTCTGAGGAAAATTCAGAACATTCTACCGATGATGAGGCAGACAGTTGTGAACGAGGATGGAGAAGATGTCGACGATGCAGCTTACTCTGACGGAGAAGATTACAGTGTCTACGGTAAAGTGAAAGATGAAGATGATGGTGAAGATGAAGTCTGTATTGAAAATGTCAGAAACAGATATGGTGAAACAGGGAGCACGCCCATGTCATGGTCTGATAATATATATGTTAGGGCAAGTTTCCCTACAAAAGAGAAGCTGTTATCAGAGGTTAGATTGACTGCGATAATGTTAAAATTTGCTTTTAAAATACAGAAGTCTACCAAGACTCTTTTTGTGGCTAAATGTCGAGTGGAAGGATGTGCTTGGATGGTTAGAGCGAGCGTGAAGAATGATGCATCAACTTTTTGGGTGACAAAATATGTGAAAGACCACACATGTTCAATAGCCCATCGAATGACTCAGCGTGGGAAGTCTACTCCTAAGTATATTGGCAAGCTGTTTATAAGCCATTGGGGCATCATTGATGGACTTACACCAGAACATGTCAGGGTTTCAATGAAGCATATGTTTGGCATCAAGATGGATTACACTACTTCATACAGATCTTTGATATATGCCCAACAATTGGTCAGGGGAACAACTGACGATGGATATGCGAGTCTCCCAGCTTACCTACATTCAGTGAACAAAGCCAATCCGGGAACTGTATCAGCTCTTCATGTAGATTCGAATAACAAATTCAAATATCTATTTCTCGCATTTGGAGCATCGATTGCCGGTTTTCAGTACATGAGAAGAGTTATTGTGGTTGATGGATGTCATCTAACAGGGAAATACGAAGGTACCTTGTTGGTTGCCACCGCACAAGATGGAAACTTTCAGATTTTTCTTTGGCCTTTGGAATTGTTGATGGTGAAGATGATGCTTCATGGGAATGGTTTTTTTCTAAACTGCGTGAATGTGTCTCAGATGGTTATCCTTTGGTGATAGTTTCTGACAGACATCTTTCTATTAAGAAAGCTTGTCAAACTATTTTCCCATGGGCAAAACGAGGGATATGCTACTACCATCTACAACATAACATAGTAACGAAGTTTAGGGGGAAGCAGTTGCTGTACTTGGTAAAACGTGTGGCTTATGCTTACAACCTCTATGACTACAACCAGTACATGGCGGAGCTGAGACAGATCAAGCCTGACCTTGCTGACTATTTGGAAGAAGCCGATGTCTCCCTTTGGTCCCGAGTTCAATTTGTTGGAGACAGATACAATATTAAGACTAGCAATGTTGCAGAGTCTATAAATACTGCACTTAAGAAGGTCTGTGGCTATCCCATTTCATTCCTCTTGGATTTCATACGAGAGAAGCTCGGTCAGTGGTTTTTAAAACGCAGAGAGGATGCTTTGAGTCTCACAACACATAATACTCGGGAGTGGAGTATTTGCTGGCGATTCGTGGACATTATGCAGATGCAATGGAGGTGGACCGAATTGACACTTGGAGATTCTATGTGAAAGGAGGAACCATGAATTGTATTGTTGATTTGGAACATGGAATGTGTGAATGTGGTGTGTTTTATATCGAGAAGATCCCATGTTCACATGCTATTGCAACTGCATTAGCCGGTGGGATAGCTGTGGATTCCCTTGTATGTCCGACTTACTAAAAAAACTACTTGTTTGCCGCATACTCTTCCAACATATATCCCCAAATTTCATTCCAGACCCTTTGAAGATGTCGAACCAGATAAACTTCAACTCTCTCCCTTCCGACATTCTGTGGGATATCCTCTTAAAAATCACTTCTCGTTCCTACGGTGGGCTCTGTAAAGCAAGGGTTTCCTCCAAACATCTAAATGAGATTTCTAATGAAGAGGGTTTTTTAAGAGCCGTTGATCTAATAACTTTGACGATTCCATGGGTCTGGGATCAACATGGGAGGGTTGACGCTTTCTTTCAGCGCTGTTTGGAGTGTAGAAATCCTACAGCGCAATACCTACGAGGCGTTTCTCTAATCTTCTATGAAGATAGCATCTAAGAAGGATTTGACTTAATAAAGGTGTCATCAAATGGAGGATGCCTCATGGCTACTTACTCCATGGTTATGTTCTCTTAACCATGGATGGTAGCCATGATGTATTTAACCACATTCGTGGTATACTTCCGGCAGAGGCAATGAAGATGAGGAAGACTATGCAGCACATCAACAGGTGTCCGACCACTTATAAGAATCCTGACGCATTTCACGAACCGGTCTTCCATGTTTTTGCGAAGGCACAATCAAGGAGTTGTGCTTGTATGAATCTGCCAAACCAGCACTGGATGGATGATGAAAGCCTCGTCGACTCATATGGTGACAAACTCTGCAGTCCTTGCTTCTGGATGTTGGAATGTGCCATATTCTGGAAAACAATTCCTGGATTTGCAAATGAATGGCCGCGTTGAAATTAGTTGACTCCATGTTTTATGTTTGTTGTGTTTACTTATATGTTTACATGACATTAGTAGACTTCTGTAGTAGATTTCGTTTGTAGACTTCGTTTGTAGACTTATATTTCTGAGTTTAACTAAACTTTTTCTGTATACACTATCAGTTATTCCCGGTTTAATTTCGGTTAAAATTTCGGTTAGGTTATTTTATTCGGTTTAGTAGACTTCAATATAGAAGTCTACAACTTTTAAAACCTAAATAATAAATTTACTTCTACCTAAATAATAAATTTACTTCTACCTAAATAATAAATTTACAGATTTAATTACTTAGTAGACTTCATGGCGATAAAATAAAGTATACAATAGAAGTCTACTCTGTTGTATTTTCATTTCGATACACTTTTTCCGTATACTCTTTTCCGCATGTTCAATAATATTTTACAGGATGAAATCAGTGGTTAGGGTGAAATCGAAAATTATAAATACTAACATGTTAATGACTTAGTAGACTTCAGTACAAATACAATTACAACTTAGTAGACTTCAGTCGAAGACTTCAGTTTAAGTACAATATCTTAAACGAAAATACAACATATTTGGCAATTTAATTATAAGATAAGTGGCCAAAAAACTTCCACACCTATCATCTACCAATTGCTAAAATGACCTCCAATCACTTTGAAGGTCATTTAGGCAAGTAGCCCAAAATTTGCCATAAAAATCAAAGTTAGTTTTAAAAACGGAAACACTAAGCTTTCCTATCATAGACATCCAGCCCGGTTGTATCTAGCTTATCATGGCCCCTAGCACCTATTTCGTCAAAGATCTCTGCAGCCATTTTCTCCCTGATTTTTCGAATGTTTTTATCACAGAGTTCTAGAGGAAATGGCAAATCCAAAGCATGACACTCGATGTACTTGAAGCAATACACTCCGCAATCATCACTCTGAATGTTTTGAGGTATCTCCGTACCTGGTACTCGTGAATGGGTGAACGGCGTGTAGGGGAATCTCCACTTGTCATCGTCAGGTGCACAGGTCTGAAGTAGGTAGGGTATCATAACAGCAAGAGGCTCCACAGCTTCGTCAATTTGGGCGTCAGATGCATGTTTGGTTCCCGCATGACTATCCCATATCGTGATATGCCTCGTCACAAATGAAACCCATATAGCTACCCAATGGTCCTCCTTGATGTGCAACATGGAGTACAAATAGTCGACATCATATGCCCACGTCTTCTTAGTCTGGCAGTAGATAGGTAATTCGCCAGTGTAGTACGAATACGCTCCAGGCGGTAGAAGTTTGCCAGACCCATCTGCATTTGGCTCAGAGTTTTTGAAGTCATTGTAGTCACGCCTCCAAACAGTAGCAAACATGGAGTTGAGGAAGCAAATCCGGTCGGATACAAACCACTCCGGATGCTTGGATAATCGCAGCCTGAGTATGTTAATGTAAGCTTCCATATGCTGCACATTGATGAAAATAAGACATGAGTGAAGTCTGCAAACGAAGTCTAATGTCTGCAAACGAAGTCTACTATAGAAGTCTACATAATAGGTCTACGTATGAAGTCTAAACATGAAGTCTAATATGAGAAAGTAAAACACTAACCGTATCAGCTAGCCATTTCGTCGGTGTCCGGAGAATGTAATACCAGTCGATCGAAGATTTTTTTGGGCGTCTTGGCCAGGCACTGTATAAGTGAAAAAGTGAGACAGGAAATAATACTACGAGGAAGTCTACTTACATACGTATAGAAGTCTACTTACGGGTTTGATTTCAGAAAGTTCATTAGAGTGGTATGCTTCGCCTTGACACCGGTTTGATCGAAAGGATCATATCCACGGATACGGCCGGAGTGAGATGCCGACGATGGAATGATGGACTTTGCGGTGCTGTTTCCTAAGAACGGACTCTTCTGTGTCGCAGCCAGCTGTTGGTGTCTGGCACTCGTTGCTCGAGCAACTAACTGAGCCGCTGCTCTGGCTTTGGCATTTTTGGCTAGTGCAACCGCGTTGAAGTCAACATCACACGTCTACGGGTCAATTTCACAAAAACTAGGCTCTGGGGCCTCTTCTTCCTTCATGGCAGCGTTCTTTCCTTTTGCATCCCCGGGGGCGTTAACACTCTCACACGCACCAACGTTGACATTATCTTTCATCGGAGCATCATCTTTATCTGAATTACTCTGCAGTTTATTGTCACAAACAGGCATGAATATACAAATGACTACACCAATGCTATAATTTAGTAACATGTTTCATCATAGTCTGAAAATTGTAAACAACTAGTTTTTAAAACATAAGTAAATAATCTCACATGGTACATAACAGTAGTAAACATGTTCGAATTCAAATGACATTAGTATTAACTGTTCCTAACTTTGTGTGATCTTGTTCGCATGTAATGTTTTCGTATAGGCGGAGGGTTATTGGTACTAACCCCTTCATGCTTCTTGGATCCAGTGCCGCCCTGCTGCTGGGTTGGCTCTACATTGTCTTTAACCTCTTCCTCAGTGTGCTTCGCCGACCCTGTAGTCAACTCCTCTACTGCGCGCTCTACAGATTCAACCTTCACGGTGAGAAGTTTGATCTGCTTTTCACAGCTACCAAGACCATTCAGCATCTTGGTGGAAAAGCTTTTGAAGCATTGGTCGAAGTGCGCTTTCATAGTAGCGACAACTCCGACCCTTTCATCACCAACGAATGAGGCGGCAGAGGTAGAAGTTGTGCAGGGTCTCTTGCGACTTGATTCATCTGAGGGAAGGCTCCTCTTTCCGGCTTCTGCCTTGACAATGTGTGCACCCAAAACACCTTCCAAAGGCCAATGGTTTTTTGAGAACTTGAAATGGGGGTCATGGATTGCATTGACAATCTTGACAATATCTGGATCCTGTTCGTCATCATCCCACACGGGAAACATATCCGCCAAGTCCTTAGCCACGCAGCACTGTATGCGAGCCTGGAAAAACACAATAAGTAAATGAATTACTAGCCATATGAAGCCTCAAAAAACTACTTATGAAGCCTACTCCTGAAGTCTACCATAGAAGCCTACTCCTGAAGTCTACACATGAAGTCTACCTCTGAAGTCTACTTTGAAAATTCATTACTACATAGAAGTCTACTACACTAATACAGTACCTGTTTTAGCATGTTAGCTTTGGCGTTCTTTCGTCCTCTTGATCCTTTGTAAGCCAGCAGAAGAGGTTGAATATCATTTGGCAATGGTTCGCTAAATTCAGCAGCAAAATCCGGCAGAGCATAGTACACCCACACTTGAAGAGCTTGCACAAATCCTTCTATATGAATGTTTTTGCTGAGATCTTTCTCCTTAACAGACTTGATCAAATGCTGAAAAGCAATTCTTCCCCATGGAAACTCCTTAAAACCTTCGAGATCCATCACTAGTCTGGCATGGTTGACATTTGTGGATAAGCCAGGTCTCGTTGCCACTATGAAACCAGCGTAGATCCCAAGATAACCCAACCGCAGCCTATCATCCCGAGACCATGATGAGCAGTTGGAACATGCTTCAATAATTTTGATAGTGCTTGGGCCCGACTCGGCATCGACCCCCATTAGCTCCCAAAATGCACGCGTGTCATCGGAAAGCGCAAGATCAGTTAAAGCCAAGTCATCCACGTATCCGCAGTTGAGTCCGGTGATCTCCTCAAACTCATGCAATGAAAACCGAACTGGAGTGGTACCAATCAGGCTCCATATCTCGTACCTCTGCTTGCAAACTATCTGAAAGGTCAGCATGTGGTGCACCAGCCTAGAAGCCCAACCAAAATCCAAGTCATGGAACTTTAAAAAGACACCCAACGGTGACTCGTAAATCTCTTCCCATTCATCTTCTTGTAGAGCTGACTTTAGTGCATGTACCAGCCTATAATCATCAGAATAATAGCCGATGCTTTTATCCGGGGCAAACCCTTTGGTGTACAGTCTTCTAGGGAATTCAGAGGCCACCATTATCTAACACAGATTTCTGCATCAACGGTAACAAAGCTCTAAATAGAAAAACTAGTAACGGTTTGAAACTATACACGAATAAGTCTACATTTTCAAAATGAAGTCTACATTTTCAAAATGAAGTCTATTTTTTCAAAATGAAGTCTACTTTTTCAAAATGAAGTCTACTTTTTCAAAATGAAGTCTACTTTTTCAAAATGAAGTCTACTTTTTCAAAATGAAGTCTACTTTCACATTCTAAGTACAATCCGAGTCGAGAAGTCTACTGAAGCCAACCGAAGCAATCTTAACATAAAAAAACAGTATATTAAGTCAACGAAATCAACATGAAGCAATCAAAACATCATAAATACTGCATATGCAGTCTACTGAACCCAACCGAAGCAATCAATACATGATAAATATTGTATATGAAGTCTACTAAAACAAATCATCCAAATGGAATCTACAAAGTTTATAGTGTTTACCGCCGTTATTAGATGAAGCTGGCGTCGAGAAAATGCAACCAGATCTGGGAAAAAAAACCCGACGGACAGATCTAACTCAAACCCGACGGACAAAATTACAAGAAGATAGAAGAAATATAAGAATTGCTAAGTATATAACTTCGGAACAATATCTACTAACCGTTTTGAGGCAGGAAATGACGTTAACCTCCAACGGCGAAAGCAGATCTGCAAAAAAAAAAAAACCCTAATTTCAGATCTGGAAACTGGTGGTTACAAAAACGGAAAGGTGATGAATACGGAGGAGTATGGAAGCATGGGTGTGTGGTTGGAGAAAGAAAACTTGCCTGAACGAGTTTATCGGCGGCGGTTCTGTATGTCGGCGGCGCCGGAGCAGAGAAACAGAAATCGCCTTCGACTTTTTTTTTTTACACGAACTTTCAACGGTTTTTTTTTAACGGGATCTGTAAAATTCGTATATATAGTCTGGTAATTTCATACGGTTCGGTTAAGTTTTTTTCGGTTAAGGTTACTAATTTTACAGGGTCTAGGTAAATTTACCCGGTTACAGACAGTTTTTCTTGGTTAAGGGAAGTTATTCCCGGTTTAATTTCGGTTAAAATTTCGGTTAGATTATTTTATTCGGTTTAGTAGACTTCAATATAGAAGTCTACAACTTTTAAAACCTAAATAATAAATTTACTTCTACTTAATTTAAAAACATACATTTCCATTTAGCAATATCAAAAAATAATTTATGTACATTTGGGTTACGATTACGGAATTTATGAATGTAAATTTGATACCAAAATAATTTTTTAAAAATTTTAAAATTAAATTTACAGATTTAATTATTTAGTAGACTTCATTTCGATAAAATGAAATCTACTATTAGACTTTTTTTCCCTTTAGTAGACTTTGTCAGGGTGTAAACGATAATTATGACTTCTGTTTTTTGTTTATTCATACATGATTAAATGGTCTTTTTACTACCCTTTAAGTTATTTCTGCCAAATGTTTTTGCAGGAGTCTACTTTTGTATTCAAAATCAAATTTTGGATTATTTTTAGCAAAAACCTCTTATAATTACCCAACCAAGCAAATCAGTGGTGGAAAAGAGAGAGAAGAGAAGAAAAATCGGAAACTTCCTGATTCTCTACTTCACTTCCTGATTTTCTACTTCACTTCCTGATCATCCTCCTAAATGACACCTCAATAACCAACAATGAACACTTACAGCACCGTAATAACTAACAATGAACACTACAACGGTGATAAAGAGCAGGATCTGCACTAACTGCCCCGCCAATTTATGTCCTTGCCAATCCATCTCTGAAACAAAACAAAAAACGATTAGATCCTTCAAATTGATCTCGAGTAAACATGAAATGTAATTGATGATCATTAAATTCGATATTTTGGTAAAATTCTTTGATAAAATCGAATCTCTTTGGGACAAAACTGATGAAAAACCACCGGAAACATTACAACTTACAATAAACGTGTTTACCTTTAACTTACTCAGATTTAGTAAATTTTAAATCCATAATCTCACTCTTCATGTATTGGAGATTTGAATATCCAATTTAATGTAGATGGGAAAAAGAAAAAAAAAAAAACTCTAAATTGAAAGGGGTAAAGAAGAAAAAGAAAAAACCATAGATTGCAAAGAAATAACATTTCTTTAGCTAAAGCCTAAAGAGAAAGTACGAGAAGGTTAAAAGATCAGCTTCCTTCGATTCGTTCGCCAAGTCTCAGAAAACCCTCTAAAGGTTTCCCATTTCATCTCTCAGATTCTCCAGTTCCTTGATCGTTCTCTCTCTCTTCGTTATATCTACACTTCCATCTTCCTCTATGGTTCTGGAAGCTTGTTTCTTTCTCACAGAGTTCAATCTCTCCATGGACTTCGACCACAAGACGTACGATGCCTGAGCTGCGTAGCCAAGCACGCAGAGATCGGACCAATAAGAAACCGAACCAGAAGCCAATTGCTCCGAGGAGAAATCCGAAGCGGCAGAAGAGAGTGGTCGCGCAGGATCGGAGTGAGCAGAAGGAAGCGATCGTAGCAGGAAGTGAAAAAACGCCGTTGGTGAAGACTGAAGAAAGAGAGGAAGAAGAAGGGATTAGGGTTTTGAGAGAAGATAACAAGAAGATGGATGAATTCGATAGTGGCGGCCAAGCACCTGTGCCTGACGATGAAGGAAACGCTCCTCCACTTCCTGAAAAGGTGGAAACTTTTTTGTTGGGTTTTTGCTCTTTTAAAGTCCCCTTTTTGGTAAATTGTCTCTTGCATTGTGGGTGATGTGTTTGATAAAGTTTCAATTGGGGCATGTCTGATTCTTGCAAAAGTTTAATACTTTATCTGCTGTAAGATAATTTGATTTGTTTCTTTGGTTACAGGTTCAAGTTGGTGGTTCCCCAATGTACAAATTAGATAGAAAACTAGGGAAAGGAGGTTTTGGACAAGTTTATGTTGGTCGGAAGATGGGTGCGAGCACTCTGAATGCTAGATTTGGCCCCGGAGCTATGGAGGTATGCGGTTTTTGTATCCGAATTTACCAGCTTCCTTTTGATTTCGTGTGGTTTGTATGTAATTTTGATGTGTCTACTTTGTAGGTGGCTTTGAAGTTTGAGCATAGAAGTAGCAAAGGATGTAGTAATGGGCCACCGTATGAGTGGCAAGTTTACAAGTGAGTTCTACGGTTTCTTGTATTTTGGCTCTATGACTCTTCTGCTTGTGGGTTATAAGAGGATGTGATAGCTAATGTATGCTTTATCTTCTGTTTGTCCAGTGCACTTGGTGGCAGTCATGGTGTGCCACGAGTTCATTATAAAGGTCGGCAAGGTGATTTTTACGTGATGGTATGTTGACTTTAGCTAGGTGTTGAACAAGAGCACATTCTGTTCATAGGTGTACTTGCGGTGTGACTAATTACATTTTTTTCATACAGGTTATGGATATTCTAGGGCCTAGCTTATGGGATGTTTGGAATAGTACCAATCAAGCGTTAGTATTCATTGCAAACTTTATTTCTTTTTTTGTAGCATCTGAAGATTTTGTTGAACCCTTTTATAGTGGGACTCACCAGATGCTTTGTTTGTTTTGTAAATTTCAGGATGTCAACAGAGATGGTTGCATGCATTGCGATTGAGGCAATATCCATCTTAGAGAAGATGCATTCTAGGGGGTAATTTCTTATTATTGTTATTATTTTCCTGACTGGTACTTACCAACTCTCTTTCTTAAAGCAATGCTCCTGTTTTTGTAGATATGTGCATGGTGATGTAAAACCAGAGAATTTTCTGCTTGGGCCTCCTGGAACTCCCGAAGAGAAAAAACTTTTCCTTGTAGACCTCGGCTTAGGTAGACTTAGTTTTTGCTGTTAGTAAGAATGCACGTACGTTTCTGTCTTTTTGTTGCTTATTCAATCCGTTGATCTTGCAGCTATTAGATGGCGTGATACTGCAACTGGACTACATGTTGAATATGATCAGCGTCCTGATGTTTTTAGGTAAGTTTATTCAGCTAGGAGAAAATCGTGTGAGGTTGATTCTTATTAGAGACTTCAATTTTTGTTACTTATAATGTGTTGGCTTTTGCATTTTCAGAGGAACGGTACGTTATGCTAGCGTACATGCTCATCTTGGCAGAACTTGTAGCCGGAGGGATGACCTGGAATCTCTTGCTTACACTCTTGTTTTCCTTCTTCGAGGCCGGCTTCCATGGCAAGGGTACCAGGTTGGGAACTCTAAAGTTAGTGATCTTTTTTTCCTGGCATTTTTCCTCGGCAATCATTAATTTGTTTTTGTTAGGGAGAGAACAAAGGTTTCCTTGTTTGCAAGAAGAAGATGGCTACTTCTCCAGAAACTCTTTGCTGCTTCTGCCCCCAACCTTTTCGTCAATTTGTTGAGTATGTGGTCAATTTGAAGTTCGATGAGGAGCCTGACTATGCTAAATATATCTCCCTTTTCGATGGAATAGTCGGCCCAAACCCAGACATTAGGCCAATAAATACTGATGGTGCACAGAAGGTGATTTAATGATCTCCTTTATGACATGTTTACTGAGTTTCTTCTATTTAGTTCCTATCTAGAATGACTAAAGCTTGTTCGTTTTTGTCTGGTGAGAAGCTCATACATCAAGTGGGTCAAAAGAGGGGGAGGCTGACAATGGATGAGGAGGACGAACAACCAACAAAGAAACTTAGATTGGGCATGCCAGCAACACAATGGATCAGCATTTACAGTGCTCACAGACCGATGAAGCAACGGTGCCATATTGGATTATACTTTACAGTTCCTGAAATGTACATTTATGAACATGCAGCTGACATGTCTCTTATCTTTGTGCAGGTATCATTATAATGTTGCGGATATAAGGCTTCCACAGCACATTGAAAAAGGAAATGAGGATGGGTTATTTATCAGCAGTGTAGCTTCTTGCTTGAATCTCTGGGCTGTAATCATGGATGCAGGAACTGGCTGTACGGCTCAAGTTTACCAGCTATCACCTAGCTTTCTCCACAAGGTAGCTTCATTCAATATTCTCGGGTAATCTTTCCAAATTTGTCATGTCGGCACTGCTGCTGTCACTTCCATTTGTGATATTCTCCAACTTGTGTATTTTGCCAAATCTTGTAGGAGTGGATTATGGAACAATGGGAAAAGAATTACTATATAACAGCAGTAGCAGGAGCAAACAATGGGAGCTCATTTGTGGTTATGTCGAAGGGTAATGTTGTTTTATTCCTTTTGACTGCAGGCGTAGAAGTTATTTTTCGTGTTGTCTGTGTTTCACATCTTTCATCCTCTGTGTTCAGGGACACCGTATTTACAGCAATCCTACAAAGTCAGCGATTCTTTTCCCTTCAAATGGATAAATAAAAAGTGGAGGGAAGGATTTTATGTTACATCGATGGCAACTGCTGGAAGCAAATGGGGGATTGTCATGTCTCGTGGGGCTGCTTTTTCAGAACAGGTCCTGTGAAGTTTACTTTTTGTGTTTTGGGTTTTACCTTGAATCGAAGCATCATTACATCATGGTCATATGGGTTTTTTTTTGTGATGCAGGTTGTAGAACTAGATTTTCTATACCCTAGTGAAGGTATACATCGTAGATGGGATAATGGCTACCGAATTACATCAACTGCTGCAACTTGGGATCAGGCTGCCTTTGTTCTTAGTGTGCCAAGAAGGAAGCCTACCGATGAGACACAAGAAACTCTTAGAACCTCTGCTTTTCCTAGTAATCATGTCAAGGTTTGATTGCCGGTCTCTTATTTTCTTGGTCTATTGTTATTTGGCTTTCCATTTTCCAGGGTTGTGACTTCTAGTCTTTTCTTCTGCAGGAAAAATGGAGCAAGAATCTTTACATTTCATCTATTTGTTACGGCCGAACTGTTTCATGAAGTTCTAATTTTTGTTTGTTAGGAATGCAACTCAATTTAGCTTTACCATACATCCGCTCTGTTGAGAATGAACAACTGTTGTGATCAGTGATGCTATGGGCTTAGGAGAATATTTTGGCAAGGATGAATGAAAAGATGTACTTCAGTACTGCTGTAATGTAGTGTATCAACTGTTTTTGAACTTGGATGACTTGTGTGAGTTAAGAAATCCAAAAAAGATGGATAGCCTAGTCTTATATATCATCAAATAATGTTTTAATCGTATTAGAAGGTATTCATCATACCTGTTTCTGGTATGGAAGGTATTTTATATGGAAGCAAGAAATGGATGTTTCTGGTATTTATTATACATGTTTTCAAAGTTTTGTCTTGAGGCTTTGTATGTCTCCTTGCATAGTTGTATGCCTTTTTAAGTTGATCATGTAGGAACAAAGGAGTTCAACTATCAAAGGGGTCTTTGAACCTTTTTGTTTGAGGAATCCAACAGAAAGTTACTGATGTTGTGGCATTTGGGTTCAAGAATTGCACTCTTCTTGATTGTCATCTACTACTTTAAATGAGGTGATTTTGGTTTACCAATTTTTTCTGAAATTGTAATGACTTGTTTTCTTAGAGAGCCACACTTTGCCAGTTCTACGTTGTCGTGTGAATTATTTCTTCTTACCTTGCTTTCCCGCTCTGTTGCAGCACTTCTTTGCTTTTGTAAACTGACATAGTTTGAACTTCGAAGCAAGAAGTTGAAAGTTATGGAGTAAAGACAATCTTACAAGGGTGAACAAGTATCTCAAATGTGTTTGTTGCAATCTGCATGTTTTACTTGTACGGAAGTATTTTATTCTCTTCTTGGTTCTCTGTTTTGTGCCCTTATATTGTTTCAAAGTTCCTACTCTTATGGTTTTCTATCCATTCTCTAGTTCTGTCCTGAGAAACAATAGGTTTTGATGTTGCTTATGGGAGAAGTCCAAATGATTTGTGGTAGCATAATCATCTTGTCACACGTTGATTCAATATTTTGCAAGACCACAATGAGCGAAACATGTTTACGGGTCATTCATTAACCTTTTAGAAAATAGCCTCCTACATTGTGTCTGTCCATATATATCATTTCTCAAAACTAAAACGCTCTTGTAAAGCAACGTAATGCTAATAAAGAGTTTTTTTTCGGTTTATTTAAGTTTACACAAAACCCATAAGAGAATCTAGATTCCTCTCTTAAGAGAACTTGTAATATTATACTCAGTCTAACTAGGGTTCCTCCACAACACTTGCTTTCACGTGTGTACATATATAATGTATGTATGTATCCGTATTGATGAAAAGTTGAAAACATCAAATCCTCGAGCTGTTTTGTTACTACTTTTAGACTCTGTACTCTAATCCGCTTCTGATTTCACAAACTATTTTTGTAATATTCATCATCATAAGAAGTTCCGGTTAGGGAAGATGTTTAAGGTAGCAACCCTTTATTATACGGTAAATTTTGGTAAGGAAGCACGAGTTGATCCGTGAGTGTGAGACCTGTTTTAATACGTTTTCAGCGAATGTCATCGGCGACCTGTGAGCTCCGAACTGCCCAGAAAGACGATGGCTTCAGCTTCTTGTTTGTCGCTGTGAAAAGCCAACCCAGCTGGGTTTCACACGTTGAACAGTTTGCAATCGTCCAAGCATACCTGTTGTTGAATTTAAAAGACATACATAAGAGTTATTATGGAGTTGACCAATGCTCTAAACCAGTCAGCCTATGCCTATGACCAATTGATCTAAAAGGGTTTGCTTACAACAAATTGCGCCAGATGGTTTATATCTAATGCTCTGAAATTTAGCTTGTTTTTGAACCAAAGTCGGGAGCTCCCTATGACTTATGATAGTGATTCAGCTTTATTTCTTGAGGTATCAAGTAATTGATAAGAATAGTGAAGCAAGTATTAATGAAAAAATCTCTTACCCAGGAAACCAGCTGTCTTTTTTAACAGGTCTACCTCTAAGCGCTATGTCATTAGCTTTGTAAAAGGTCATTATCTCATGCACAAAGCCATATGGGTTTACATAGGCACCGAGAGGACCGTCACTAGACATAACCAACATGTCACTTCTTCTTGCTATGACAGTCTGCATTAATATGAAAACGTATCAGTGAACCAATTATACAACGGAGAAGGACGTAGAAATGATATCTACTATGCGCTCCCACATTACCTGACAGTGTTTACATCGAACACGATCAAAACTCTCAAGCAATTTAATTTCTCGTTGCAATCTGTAAGAGACTCCGTCAATCTCCAAGAGCTCTTGTCTAATTGACTCAGATACGGGAATTTTACTAGCGATGAAAAAGGATAAAACATCTGGTTTATTCACTATAGCCTCCATGTTTGGAACCCCAACTATCTGCTTCCACAGATCTGCATATTTTCTTAACGTTAGCAGACTCTTAATATGCGTACAGTTTGTAGAAAACGATCAAAACAAAACAAGGAATTTACCAGCTGCTCTTTGAGCAAGATAATATGAGTCGTACATCCCATACACCCAGAATGGCCAAAATGCTCTTGGGGCCATACGGAATCGGGTTAGATCAGTATTTTCCCGGAAACTTGTCAACCTATTTTGCTTATGAGCTTTCCCTTGTGAAACAGAGGTCTCGCCTTTTGCAGATTGCCAGTCTTCCTTTTCGCAGTCTTTGCCAGAAGATAAACATCCAATGGACCTAGAGCTGACTGCTTGATCATCATCACTACTCGTCCAATCATCCATGATTGAGTCAACTGCTGAATAATGAAGTCTTTTCTCTGACAGAGAAAGAGCACTTTCAAAACTTTCTTCAGAATATGTTACTGACTGTTCGTCTGTATCTCTAAGAGGTGCAGATAAAGCCATTGTGCTCGTGTGACAGCGACCTCGCAAGTTGCTTATCGGTACCAGCTTCCCAAACGCATCCCTGGGAGTCCTCAAGGGCACATCTTCCTCAACAATCTGAACCTCTCCGCAAGGCTGCAAGAATAAGTTAATAAGAAATAGGTTTCTTTCACAGTAAACAGAGTTGTATCCACCAGTTTTACTAATAACGAGGCGGTGCGTTTATGTATATTTATGATTGAATATCCTTACGAATCCTTCAACATCAGTCCACCGACGCTTTAAACGGAACCGCTGTTGTCCACGAGTAATAACATTGAATGAGCCATCTCCAAGTCGACGGTATTGTCGTATCTGTAATTATTACACAGAATCATAAGTTACATAAAAAGAAGTAGAAGATCAAAACTATCGCACAGATTAAATATAGAACAACAGTCATGTCATTTCCCAACTTCCTACATCAAGACCCTTGTCTCAAACATAGCTCTAGAAACATTACGCAACAAAATTCATAAGCCCAGATCTTTTAGGCATGAAATCGATCAACAACGAAGCCAATTGTAAAATGTAATTTGTTAAGATCTGTTAGTACTACGGTTCAAATGGTCTATAGTTCTGCATTAATCTGACTTTTCGATACTCAACTCACTCTATAAGAACCTCATGAAAGTATACCCAAAACCTGAAGCTTTCTTGAGATGAGACAGAACAACAAATTTTTGGAAACAGAAACCTGAAACGCATAATACCATCATCTAACAGTCATTCAGAAACAAAGGAAATAAGATATATAGAAAGATTACGTCTGCCGTTGTCCCCACGCTAGCATACTTGAACTGAGCACCTTCTCTGTAAACACGAATCTAAAGATAAAAAAGGATAAATTTTATATGTGTAAGAAAGTTTGTTGATAATAAACGATACTTAAAGAACCCAAAACAATTAAGCCACTTACCACACCTATCGTACATGGAGCGTTATCTTGGTTTAAAGCTCTCTCAACAGCAGCCAAGAAACTATGTTGAACAATTCTAAGGGGAAGTGTTGCCTCTGGAAATAGAACTACTCCTGAAGTTTTGCAAAGCAGCAGTGTCAATGTCTTACATAGATATATGAGTTCAAAACAATTTGTGTAAGAATATGTTTCACACCATACGTGTCTTACACAAACTGTTTTTTAGAAATTGTACTTCTTGTATATCTGAATAAGAAACATAGTGTGCTTGTTCAATTCAACTTATCAACTCATTTCAGTGAACGTGCAACTAGATTCTTAGACAAAAGCTACTCCTGAAGTAATGCAAAGTAGCAGTGTCAATGTCTTACATAGATATATGTGTACAAAATACTGAAGAGGGAACAGAAAACTCTTCACACCATACATGTCTTAGACAAACTTATTTTCATAGAAATGGAACGTCATGTATATCTGAAGAAGAAAAATGATGTGCTCGTTCAATTCAACTTAGAGATACTCGTGTCAATGAACGTGCATATAAATTATTATGATAAAGCTACAAATGTAACAAACTAAAAGGAGAAATCAATCATCATGCCATAGATAAATGAATACCTTCAAGATAGAAAAGCGGGATCTTCAACACGGTGCCTCCATCCACAAAAGCAATTCTGTTCTGAGTGTCTTCAACCTCTGTAAACAATATAAAAAGCATAAGCACAAAAAAAAAAAAAAAGAAACACCTCAGCGAAGACAGAAGACGAGAGAAACCATGTCATACCGCCAAGATAGGTATGTAAAGAAGCCAAAGCTGGGTTGAAAGTAAGTTCATCAGCACCAAGATTACCACTGTCAAGCACCATATGCAAAGTCAGAGACGAGAGAAAACAAAGGCTTTATTCATCACCCGCACAAGAAAAATCAATTACTGTTCGTAGATTTGATTTGTCAAAAGAACGATTAAACATCAAACTAGTCGCAATTCTGGTAACACTGCATTGAGACCCCGCACGGTTGCTAGAGAGACGAATAAGAATGTAAGAGGAATAGGTAACAAGTGAATTCTAGGAGAGATTGCTCACGAAAGAGTCATGTGGGAGTTAACGCGAAATGAAGCGAGGTCATCTTCTTCGTCGGAATCTCGAAAATCATCGATTTCCTCTACTTGCAACTCCTCGAAATCAAGCTCCCGAATCTGCTCGATCTGAATCCTCTCTCTCTCTAGAATCCTGTCGTCGTCCATCTCTCTCTCCTTCTGTGTCTCGTTGTGTTTACCCGCCACCAGAGACCCCTACACCACCTCGGCGTTTTCCAGAGACGACGGTGTCGAATTTGTCTACGTCCTGGTAAGTGATCGGGCCGGTTTATGATCTATTACCCGGCCCAACTATCTCGGGTTGATATTATTCAACGTTGGTTAATGTGCTTAGAAATCTTTGTAGAATCTTTAAACTTTTGTAAAATTTATTGATTTTTAAATTAAACGTGACGATTTTTAATTAGTATTTGTAAATCCATAATTTTTTTTCGGATTTGAGTGTTTCTAATCTAAACATGAAATTTTTATAAAACTCTTTACGAAATTTCTAAGTAAATCTGTAAAATTGAATAATATATATATATATATATATATTTTTTTTTTTCTTTTTCAAAAAAGAATATATATATATATATATATAAATCATAGAATCAATAACACAATATTTGAATATGAATTTTAAAATCATAAAACCATTCATCATAATTTTTTGGTGTAGTATCCTCACTTTTCCATTTTTTCCCTTAAACATGTGGGTGAAGTATTTTCTTTTATTTTTTTCTCTCTTAATTTCTCTGTGTTTGAAAGATTTATGTTGTGGATTGGAGTCCATATGGTGATAAAGTAGCCTCTGGTAGTATAGATCAAGTTCTCAAGCTATGGAAAAGTTTAAGGAAGACCAATTTAGAGCTTTGTTTACCTATCATCCAAGTAGATATCCTATATATTAAATAAGAGAGTAGTTTAATGAAAAAAATCTTAGGTATTTTAATTTCATTGACTTAAAAAATCGTTTTTGCCAACGTTAATGATGACGTTTATTCCACATCAAATATGATATAACAAGGACGCTAGCTTTGTGCATTTCATTGGTTCATAAATGTTGATGTGTAATTTCTCTGCAAGTTTTTCTGTGTTAAAATAATTAAAAACCAAAAAAATTATAAACGGATAAACACGCCGATCTTTATACCGACCGGCACAATTAAGTGTATTTTAAAAACACCCTATGACCTAAGACTTCATACATGCCTAAATATTCACTTTTTTGAATATTTTACCATCATTAAATACAATTTAATCAGTAAGATTACGTTTCCATCTTTACCGCTCATCTATGTCAATTCATTCAAATTGTATCTTTGAATTAAAAAACATTTCCGGAACTATAGCTACTTCTTCTAACCACAATACGAATATTCTCTAATTTGAATTTAATAGTTTAGGGTTTTTTCTGCTCAATTGTTTTCCATATACATAATAGCATCATACCAAAAGGCTGAAACGATATTATTCTCTTCTCAAAATGTCTATAGTACGCTTTTATAGAGCTCCTATTGTTTCTTTTGCTAAATTAGATCCTACTACCATTCAGCAAGTTAGGGCTAAAATATGTTACATCTGGAAAGTGATTAACAAACATTTACGTATTAGAATCGAAATGATTTTATTGGATGAGGAGGTATGTCATTCATATATTTATTTTTTATGCCGTCTTGATTTTATCTTTGAACTACATAGTGATAAAAATTTCTCTATAACAGGGATCAAGGATTCATGCTGTCACCGATGAAGAATTGTTCGAAAAACACAAGGGCCTTCTTATTGAAGGGAAAACTCTTTCTATTACTTGCTTCTTATTGAAAGAGTACAATGGTGTTTTTAGGGCTACTTCTTGCCATATAAGATTTATTTCTGCAGGACAACCGTTGCATATGAGATTTATGATTTTCCAGCAAACGTTGCGGAAAAATATTTAACTGTTTTCAAACGTATCAAGGAGGGCAAGGTCGACATAAATCTTCTTTTCGGTATGTTTTCTCATTGGTTAATTATACTAAACGTCCATGTTTTACTTTATTAATAAATTCTTGACGTTCTTATTGAAGATGTTATTGGACAAATTGTCACGGTGGGGAGTATTGAATTTGTTCAAAGTAAAGGCAAAAGAACCGGCAAATTGTGGATTACATTACGTGATACCAAGTAAATTTAAATGTTTTTTCTAGTTTTTGAAAAATCTTTTCAACATGCGATGCTGATTTGCTTTATTCTCAGGCAATGTTTACCTTAAATGTACACTATGGGGAGAATATGCATTGATGACCGTTGAGTACATTAAACAACATATGGAATCTGTCGCTGTCAGTCTAATGCGCTTTGTCTGTATTCAAGAGTTCAAACGTGAGTTCTCAATATCTTATAGTCCACACAATTGTCTGTAATTGTTAACAATTTATGCGATATCTTATAATTTCATTGTGCTTTTTAGGTGTTATTTCAATATCGAACTCTTTCAACTCCACTAAAATTATGTTTGATTCTGACATTAAGATCGTCAAAGACTTCAAAGATAAGTATGTTTTCTGTAATATATACACTTATCAAATCTTTTTGCAGTATTGTATTCACAACTGATTTTTTTTTTTGTAGGTTGCCTAAAAACAACCAAGTAGTTGTTCACACTGATCAGGGTTATTCGGATTTATCAATTACTGAGTGGGATTCTAGATCACAGGTAATATGTCCTCAGTAATTGTATATACTAATACACGGCTTGGTTTGAAACAATTTTAAAGTTGTGCAAAATTTCGTGGATGTTTTCCAATTACTTGGAGGCAGAGGTGGGATTGTTTTCCAATTAATCTTGGATGTTTTCAGGACATTGGTAATAATTCATTTGGATCGTCGCAACATGCAAACAATCAGCTGAATAGTCATGACATTGGTGAAGAAGAATGCGAAAAATCCATGAGCAACAAGCGTCCTAGGAAGTAATTCCATTAGAACTTTAAATTAGATATTTCTGCTATATGATGTTCTTGAATATTTGTATTCATGCTTCAATAAATTATTAATAAAGTTGAAATATTTATCTTTATAATCCCATGTTCTTGAAAATACGAACCTAACAATGAAATGTAGATTGTGAAACAACAAATTATGTATACCGATTCGCAGAGCTAATAATATTTAAGTTTGGTAAATATTCCGTAAAGTAATTCAAATGGAAATTTATTCTGGATCAACAATATTCCGCAATATATTTGAAAAAGGAAATATAAGTATTTTATTTAGCTACATATGTCTGTATGAGATATCTTATATTGTATATGAAGTATCGATTATAACAAGATAGCAAAATCAGAATAATAATAAACATTTTAATTTAATGACTATTTTCAGTTTATACATTTATTTCTAAATTCAAACAAGATTTCATTTTAACCCCATAAAAGGAAGGTAGATTTGTTATGAAATACTAAATAATTATAGACAACCGTAATTTGAATTAAAAATACATAATTTTAGGAAACTAATTAGTGTAAACAAGATCTTTTTTTATTGGGAAATAATTAAAGAGATTTCTTTGAATTTAAAACAGTCATAATAATTAAATATATGTAATATTAGGAAACCTTCTTGGCAAATGTTTTCAAAATTCAAACAGTCATACATAGGTAAAGCTCAAAAATGGCTTCTGGAGATAGCTCATCTAACAAGGAGAACTCACCCCCACTCTTGAAACGTTAGCACACATTTAATCCTTATGACTGTTTATATAACCATTAAATCTTAACTATTTCATGTCCAATCAGGTGGGAGACGTAGGTGTTCAAATATTGGACAATGTTCTAATGAAACGCAAAGTGACAATGGAAAAAGTCAATGCATTCATCATGACGATGACTCTCCACCCCTTCGAAAACGTAAGTATTATTCCTGGTACTCAACTTTTCCTATACATATTAACAAAATCCCTAATGTTTAATACTTAATCATTTGGAAAATAATTATACTGATTACGTATTCTGTTGTGTAGGTGGACGACCTAAGATTTCTCAAACTTCACCACCCTTACAAAAGTGTAATGTATTCTCAAGCTGAGTAGTTTTCCACATATATAACCAATAGGTTTTCATTTCTATAGTTACTTTGAACATATTAAACCATCATTTACTTTACATATTGCCCAGGCGGTAGACGAAGACAATTCCAAGACTCACCATCTGTTGTTAACTCATCTATGATCACCCACACAAATCAACAAAATACCGATACATTGTTCGATTTAACAAACCAATCAGATAGATTTCGTAATGGTTTTTTGTTAATTTGTATGTGTGATCTCATATGAATATTCTTTCAAATCGTGTGTTCTCAATTTCTGTTGTTTTAAATAACTTAGATGACTCTAGAAGTCCTTTATCTGACGTCACAAATTCACAAGGTTTGTTATCCATTCTATGTACATTGTAAACAGCTTTCAGCACAAGTTAACTTAATTATATTATACTATTCTAATATTTTTCATTAACAGTTACGAGATGCCAAACGAGATCTCAAACAACTACTAAAAAAAATAAGGGTAAACAAACGTATGGAACTGAGCGTAATGATTCCAGATTACGACCACAGAACTCCAGATTAAATTTTATTCAAGAGCAACCCCAAGGTATTAATATGATGTTGTGTACTTTTTAAAAATTATTGTATGTTATTCATTACATAAAACTGACCACTAGAGTTTTTAAATTATAGCTTATCAAAATAGATATGAGGCTCACAGCGATGAAGAAGATGATGATTATGATAAAAATATTGATCCTAATTAAGATGAATGCCAAACTTCAGGAATGGGAATGGAAATTGATAACATGGAGGCAGATGTAAATATACAACAGACAACCGTTCCCAATGTAGTTGGATCAATATCAAGATTTCAATTTGGTGTTCAACCAAATAGTAAGTAACAAGAATGTCTATTTTGTTATTAACTTATTTTCATATAGAACACTATAATATGAATTATTGGTTGGCAGAATATTATGATGATGGAGATCCCGCATTCGAATGTGGACACTGTGGAGATTATTTTTGGTATTGAGAGCGGATAGGAAATCCAGGAGACAATTGATACCCATATTCACGCTTTGCTGTAAGCAGGGCAAAATTGTCCTTCCTAAACTTAGAAATCCTTCGATGGAGTTAATAGAATTGTTATGCAAAAGAGATGCATTGAGTAAACATTTTCGTGAGTTCATTAGAGCATACAATATGATGTTCTCTTTCACGTCATTAGGCGGAAGAATAGACTATGCCATTAACAATGGTCGTGGTCTGTAAGTCTTCAAAATGAATGGGGAGAATTATCATCAAATTAGTGATATGGTTCCAAACATTGGCGAGATGCCCAAATTTTTGCAACTCTACATCCATGACACGCTTAATGAACTATACAATAGAATAGCTTGTTATGGATACGTATTATATTCATTTCCCAATACGGACAATTATCACATAACTAAAGACATAATATGTGCATACTCTTTATTTTCTAAACCTATTTGTAATATTCTTAGGACTATGGGCGCTGAGACAGATAATTTTTAGTTTACTGTCTTGGAAATATTGAAGAAGATGCTAGACAACGTCAATCCATAGGTCAAGGTATTTAGGCAAGCTAGATATATATGAGGCTGATGGAGGGGTGACGTTCAAATTGAGGTTGATAGAAGGAAGATCTACTGATGGAAGAACTCATAATATTCCTACTTCGGAGGAAGTTGCAGTTTTGATACCAGGTGATTTTAATTTGTTTTGAGTACGGAAACTAGAGACATCATTATTGAGTCCAGTGCGGACAGAAGATTTCAGAGGATTAGTGAATTACATCCTGCATACCTTCCTCTGCAATATCCTTTATTGTTCTCATATGGAGAAGACGGTTTCCACTTGAATATTCCAATTGCATATGAAGAAACGGAGGCTAGGAAACGTAAATCAGTAACAATGCGAGAGTTTTTTGCATTCTGGATTTGTGAGAGACGTGGTGAGGCTCCTACAATCAATCTATCAGGTAGACTATTTCAACAGTTTCTTGTAGATGCGTATACCATGATTGAATCCCGTAGACTATGTTATTTGTGGTTCAACCAAAAAAAGATTCGTTGAATAACTATATAACTATAAAGAAGGCATCTGAAGCGGGTGCCAAAAATCTTAGTTCAGAAGGTCCAAGAATTTATATGCCGGCGAGTTTTACCATGGGCCACGGTATATGAATTAGCACTACATGGAGGCTATGGCCATATGCAAATATTTTGGTTTTCCAGATTTGTTCATTACATTTACATGCAATCTAAAATGGCCCGAGATTACACGGTATCTCCAGAAATATAATCTAATAACAGAGGATAAGCCAGACATTATGTGCCGCGTTTTCAAGATGAAGCTGGATAATCTGATGACTGATCTAAAGAAGAAAAAAGAAGTTATTTTGGTCCAACAGCTGCCGGTATGTTTTATTGTTATAGTAATCCATTGGTGCAATTATGTCATTTATTTTTATGAAACAGTATTACCATGTTTTAACTTTACTATAATGTATTTCAGTTATGTACACGATAGAGTTCCAGAAGAGGGGTTCGCCACACGCCCATATTTTGTTATTCTTGAAAGATAAGAATAAATTACGAACTACTGATGCTATTGACAAGTACATCAGCGCTGAAATTCCCGACAAGACAACAGATCCAGATCTTTATAATATTGTTGGTGAAAATATGATGCATGGATCATGTGGAGCTGCTAAACTTGACAATCTTTGCATGGTGAACGGGAAGTGTTCAAAGAGTTTTCCAAGACTTTTCATTGATGAAACTTCGACCGTGTACATATAAATGTTAAGTGGTGCACTCAAACGCGAGCTGTAAAATATCTTTTCAAATTTATTCATAAGGGTCCTGACTAATTCTCTGCGGCTTTAGACAAAGATGAGAATGGAGTTGTGGATTAAATTAAGAATTATTACAACTGCAGGTATATTTGTAATAATTATATCATTATATGGCCTATATGTTTATATATATATTTGAGACATTTTAAACATAATTCTTGTCTAAATGTAGATATGTCTCTGCTTGCGAAGCAACATAGAGAATTTTAGGTTTTCCAACTCATTATAGGAGTGTTTTGGTGGAAAAACTTTGCTTCCATCTCCCGAACCGTGAAGTTTATGTCCATGATGAAGACGAACCTCTTGAGTCTATTCTGAAATGAGTTGGTGTCAGTGTTTCAATGTTTCTAGGTTGGCTTGAATCATGTAAAAGATATCCAGATGCGAGAAAGCTAACTTATGCATACCTACCAACACAATTTCTTTGGCATCTAAAAGATAGAGAGTGGAAACCCCGAAAACAAAGTTTTGCTATTGGAAGGATTGCTCATATTCATCCAAACGGCGACGAGACGTATTATCTGAGGATGTTGATTAAAACAGTCAGAGGTCCAACATGTTATGATGATATTAAAACGGTTGACGGTGTTGTCTATAAAACTTTCAAAGAAGCGTGTGATGTGTTAGGATTGTTAGATGATGACAAAGAATATATCGAAGGCATCAAAGAAGCTAGCATATGGGCTTCAGGATGGTATTTCAGGCTTTTTTCAGTATAATGTTGCTTGGTGATTGTTTAACACAACCTGGCGTAGTTTGGGAAGCAACATGGGAGTATTTGATGGATGATATACTTTACAGACGTCGTCTTGAAAGCGGATATAAAGGTATGCAACAGTTGTAATTATTGAATACATGAAGCTTGCTCTACAAGTTACAATTATCAACTTGGTTATCATTTTTTTAAATATCTCTTTGTTTTTTGTTATTGTTTCAGGTTTGAATCTATCGACCGAGCAGATTAAAAATATTGCATTGCCAGAGATTCATGATTTCTTAGAAAGTAGAGGACGTTCACTAAACAAATAGGACTGTATGCCAAAACCAGATAATTTCATGGAGTACAACAGCAACCGATTGATTGATGATGAAATTAAATTACAATACTGAGGAGCAAAGAAAAGAGAATGCGAGGCTTCTTGCCATGATAACAGATGAGCAGAAAGATGTTTACGAAGAGATTTTGGATGCTGTTTTGAACAACAAATGTGGTGTTTTCTTTGTATATGGTCTTGGAGGTACTGGTAAAACATTTATTTGGAGTTGTCTTTCAACCGTTATTCGATCTAGAGGTAAGATAGTAATCAACACTGCCGCTGAACTTAAAGCATTCTCTGAATGGATATTAGCTGTTGGTGATGGTAAAATCAATACTCCAAATGATGGAGTTGTGGATATTGACATTTCAGAAGATTTGTTGATCAAAGATTGTGGCGATCCAATGAAAACTATTGTTAAAGAAATGTATGGAAACTTAATAGATAGTCAACATGCTGAAGACTTTTATCAACATCGTGCTATTCTGAGTCCCACAAACGAAGAGGTTGATCAAATTAACGATTATATGTTCTCATTGCTGCCAGGTAACACAGTATACTGATTATATGTACTATATATATATATTATTGAATCCCAGTCATGCTGAACGTACTTAATTTCCTATAATGTTTATTTATAGGTGAAGAAGAAACCCATCTAATAAGGTAACATATCCTACAGAGTTTTTGAATGGAATCAAAGTTTCTGGATTGCCCAAACATTGTTTGAAACTTAAGATAGGCACACCAGTTATGTGTTTGCGTAACACTGATCCTAAGGGAAGTCTATGTAACGGCACTAGATTGATTGTTACACAATTGGCTTGCCATGTTATAGAGGGTAGAATCATAACAGGAACCGATAAGGTTGGAGATAAGGTTCTCATTCCTAGAATGTTCGTTACACCTCCGGAAACAAGTTTTCCTTTTAGACAATTTCCTGTGACATTGGTATTTGCAATGACAATCAACAAAAGTCAAGGAAAATCTCTTCAAAATGTTAGTTTATTCTTACCTAGACCAGTGTTCTCATATAGACAGCTATATGTTGCATTATCAAGAGTGAAGTCTAGGTCTGATTTGAAGATTTTATTTACCGATAAGTGGTAACGTCCAGAAGAAGACAACTAATGTTGTGTACAAAGATGTGTTCAGTAAAATTTTTAAACGCTCTTTACGATAATCTGTTTAGGTCTTTTATGTTATTTCAACATTATCAAATTAGCCCGTTTATTGTGGCCCAATGTCATTCTGAAGTACACTTCACGCTTTGCAGTGTGTTCTATAGTAATTTTGTTTTTTGTTATCTTTGGATATATTAACACATGCGTGAATTTTTTAAAAAAAAATCGAAACCATGTTCAATTTTAATATCTAACTATCAAAAGTATTAAGTAAATATATGACACATTAAATAACTTCCAAGTAATCAAATGTAGTATCCTTTATCCTTTGTCTATGAAAAAACCTTTTACACTACGTAGCATACCGTAATGTTAATCTTTTGTACCGTGGAAACTTTACGCATACTATATACAATAATTGGAAAATTTGATTTTTAAGAGCTTAGAATGGATAGTAGAATTTGAAAGTTATATATCCAACATTCTCGAGGATCACATCCACTGCCAGAAGCGGAGAGAGTTAAGTTTATGTAATTACTTCCTTCATTTATTTTACATTCATTGTCAGGGAATTTACGTAAGGAAGTTATTAATGTAAATATGTTTTTTCCTGTTTTATGTTAGGATGTTAGACTTGCTTGTGCAGAAAACTTCCCTGTTGTCACGATGGTATGGATATACTGATTGACGTATTTCTGTCCCATATGTTAAAGCTACATATTCATTAAATTTATTATTTTGTCAATTTTTCATTTATCTGTATCTATGTTGCTTTTTTATGATTCTATTTATTTTGTCGTGTTAACTTTGCTTTATTTATGATCTATATTTGAACTCTGGAACTTTTGAACAAATGGCAATAAGTATATATTTATTGATCCTCCCTTTATTTTGTTTTCCTTTTTATAACGTTAAAGGGTTGGAATAATACAAACAAATCTAATCACATTATATTGCGTGGTGAGAAGGTAATATAATTTCCAACCATTTTGGTAATATGAATTATGGAAAAGTAAAGTAGTTTATAAGTTTATTCATTTACTACAAATTTATTTAGAATTTATAGCTCAGATTTTCTTTCTCAAATAGTGGGAGTTCTTGAGTTGACATATATCTCCTCTATTAAATACTGCACCGTAAACTTTATTCTCAAATATACCACTTACCTCTTTGCTTTTCCAATCATCATTTATTTTTCACTTATTAGTTATCCAACTAACGCAACAGTTATTTAGCCTTTACTAATTACCAAAATTTGCAATCTTTCAAATTAAAAACTCTAATTTTATTCCACTATTTTTCTCCTACAACAGAGATCTCCTTCTTTTTCGATCACAAAACTCCAAAGCAACAACATCATTTTCCAAAGTCCGGTCTTGAACAAAACAATGGCAACCTATTTCACACTTGATAGACTTTCCCTCAATACTGATATTTCAATGATCATCGTCAAAGTTATCCGACGATGGCAGAAATTCAACATCGTCAAGGGCCGCTTTAAAACACACTTGATTCTTGGCGATGAGAATGTAAGTGCATATTATCATAACTTTTATCAATACTAATAAATTTAGTCAGTCTAGGTTAATTATTTACAAAATAAGATATCGTCTTAATACATGTTTAGGGTTATAAAATTGAAACGGCCATCAATTTGGATCTCATGCCCGTCCTCACTCAAAAGTTTAAGGAAGGAGAGTGGAATTGTGTTTCGTTATTTAAGATCGTTCATGCGTTTGGCTCCTTCAGAAATACTATCAACAACCATTTCATCATCATGCATGATAAAACCATTGTAACCAAAATTTCAGAATTGAACCATAAGCATATGATGGATTTCATGCCCTTTGAAAATATCATCAACCAGAAGATATACTCTCAGTACTCTGTCGGTTTGTATTCTAAACCATCATAATTTGTTAGAGTAGATTGTTATCCCTTATAGTTTATTTATTAGAACGTATTCTCGCAGACTTGATAGGTGTTATAATTTTTGTTGGTGACTTGAAGAGTTTAGAAGATGAATCGGATGCCTTGGTACATGGACCATGGAGCAATTTGGAAATTGAAATAAGGGACATAAAGTAAGTAGTTAAATTATTAGACATAGGAACTAAGGAATATCAGTCATTGATGATATGTATATTATAATTTCAAACAGCTTTAGAGAAATTACAGTTGAGCTGACCGGGGGGACGACAGTGGAGTTTTGGAGAAAGTGGTAAGAAATTGGAACATATGAAATGGTGTTGACTCTTAGGATGTTTAGCGTTTTCTATGATTCTCAAGGTTAGTTATCTGTACTTTGCTGAATTAACATCAATGATACCTAATGTTTTAATGATCCTCAATTAGAAACAATGATTAATATATAAGATTATACTTTGTTATAGGCGGTTTCTTCATCAGAAATGCTGGTGACCAATCTCAAGTACTTTTTAATCCACATATTAAAGAAGTTTCCGATTTTTTACATTGGTATAACACTATTCTCATTAAACCTCTATTCATTTTATACTGTATTTGTGGTGGATATAAATTTTGTGATTCAATTTTTCAGGTTGCCATTTACTGATATCCATGGAGATCTAAGCTGGCCGTGAAATCCTCCATCAGCTCCGATTTTATTTCATCAATGTTGAACCTTTTACTTTTTATGCTGAATCTTTTGAATTTTATCGGTTTATGGTTTTTATCTTATTTTATGAACATTACTTAAAATTATGTTTTGAAAGTTTTTCATAAATATTTATTTAAAGTATGCTGACTATTTTCTATTAATGGTGTTATTATAATTAGTATCATATGATTTTGTGTACACATGTACTTATAATTGTGGTTCTTAATTTTTTTTATCTATTTCTTAAGCTAAGAATAGTATAAATTGTACTGAGTGTTAAATTAAAGATTACTATATCTTATAACAAACATATTATTACCATGAACAGAAATGCAATTATAGAAATTAATATATTGTATATATTATGTACATTGTAATTTACCAAACCCCATATTTGATCATATAATGACCCAATATATGTATTTATTTTGTATTCTGGCCCAAAATCTTTCAAACCCTAAAATATTGCCGTCTTGATAAGTTTTCAATATATATACAAACACTAACAACTTATTTTGCTTTCACATCTTATCAGAAAATAGAACCACTTGATTACATTGAAGACTTGAACAATAGCTCGACTGAATGGTGCATCCGTGTTAAACTGGTGAGAAAGTGGTTTGAATATATACCACATCAGGGCGTAACATTACAATTGCTTCTTGTTGATGCGAAGATAAAATTTATATTTTCATGTGATTTTAATAAGCTCCACTACTTCACATATATTCTAACGTATACAAAAATATACAAATTCATTCATTTTTAGAGGACCATACAATACGCGCTCGGGTTAGACGACAATTTTATGATTTATTCGAACCTATGCTAACTGAAGGTTCATGGTTTGATATTGAAGATTTTGTTGTCAAGCGTTTACGCAATAATAAGAGCAGAGATTTAAACAGTTTTTTAATTCAATTTATAATATCTACATCCGTAAAGAAAATTTCATATGTTCAAGGTTTGTTATTTATATTCATTTTTATCGATTTGAAATATATACATCATTGGCAATAAATAATTTTATACATTTTTTGCAGTTACAAGAACAGCAATTAATAGATTACGATGCTCCTACGAATAAATCAGGTTTTTAATGTAATCAACACATAATAATTTAGTGTTTTAAATTTATTAACATCTTTGCATTCTTCCTATGTAAACCAACCCTAAATTTTCGAATTGCATGGATTTTTGATTGACCGTTAATTGACCGAAGGATTACAAGAACTGTGACATGTTCTTTTTACCGAATTTTCACAAATTCTCAAACAAGACACATCGTTACAATTATGAGTTCTTTCGGAATATATATGTGATCTTCATTTTTACTTTCTTCATTATACATAAATAGGATACATACAACAATACACAGAAAAGATAATCCCAGCAGACCACACACTATAAACTATCAATATTGTAAAATTCGACCCAATACAATTAACACTATATCCAATAACATTTAAATTTTATAAATATGTTCAAGCCTGCACATGCATGCGGCCAGTATCCTAGTATCTTATTTAACTATTTAAAACAATCAACTTTTTGAAATAACATAAGATTGATTTAAAAAAAAAAGATGTTCAAAAAAATCATATATATATATATATATATATCATAATTAATAAAATCACTTCTTCTTTTCATATCTCGTCTCTTTCCATTTCTCTTTTCACTCTCTTTCATACATATATATATATATATAACAAATCTTACTTTATCGACTATAATTTATAACATGTTATCAGCACAAACGCCTTTCGATCTGTTCCTATATCAAAGAGGTAAGATTTAAATTTATATTCAATTTATTCTAAGTTTATATATTATTTGAAAAATTGCTATATGGGTAGTTTTTCAGTTTTAAATTAGAAGAATGGATAGTTTTGAAAACCAAGGAAAGATTGGATTGTTTTTACT